CAAGCCTGCATCGAAACCGACTATGCAGTGGCCAACTGGGTCCCAAAAATCAGTCCCTGCTTATGTCGACTGCGAACTTTGCAGTTTTCCTCTCAACACCAAGCTCATGACATTTAATTATGATTTTTTGGATTACGAACATGTATGCTGCAGTGCCATGAACCGTCTACAGGAAACAAGCGCGGAATCACAACCACTTTCATCTTAGATTTTTCCTGCAGTTAATCAACCAAAGGTGCGGGGCGAAATTCGGGACTTGTAAGATTTGGAACGCAATAGAATCCTCAGTAATCACGCCATGTAAAGGCAACTACAGCTTTTTTGAGGCGGCCACTTTGTGTGTGGCACTCGAAAATGAGTTCATCTCAACACTGTGATCCACCCCTATCAGTGCCCGCATCTGATAAGTGACCGGGACGGACAGTCGACTGATGCACACGATAAGTTGGAGTTTGATGCCGGCTCTCAGCGCCTAATATCTTCTATTAAAAAGTCAAACGCGCATCAGACTATCACGGTAAGTTAAAAACTGTGGCTTGAAAGGTTACCAACTTGTGCTTCAAATCTTGCCAAATAGTCAGTTTAGCTGTACTTTTTCTTCAGTCAATCTGCTGCGTAACTGCTGATGATTGTGAGGTTTGAATTTCAGGCGAGTTTTGTTTAACGCGGATTTCGAAGAGCATCACAGTTTCACACGAATAATATTAAAAGCATTTTAAGAAAAGGACTTTCAAATAATACGCTGGTCAGTCAGTGGGTTGCAGCCCAATCTATAATTAGCCAGATGGCACTATCTGCGTGAGAATGCCACACGGCTGCATATGCCGCCTGAGCGTGCCTGACGCACATCCCTGTGGCGTGGAGGCCCGCAAACCAGGCGAGATAAAATCGATCGATAGCTCGCTTAACGCGCCGCGCAACATCGATCGCAGTACGGGCATGTGGCTTTCGGTAGCTAGTCGAGCACTTAGTGCCATTAGAACCGCACCTGAACTGCCTCGAGAGAATGTCGTCAAACTGAGCCGATTGCGGCGGTGTGCGCTATCAACGCGCGTGTGCGTGTCATTGAGGACCTTCACGCCGCCAACAGCTCGGAAGCAATAACAACGTTGGCCTATCTTTGCTACGAATCATATTAGCTTACTGCACTGATTTTATGTGCAATTAACTGTGTAAAACCAAGTAAAATATCTCCGCCCATTCTAAGTATTTCTTCCAGCGATTAAGTAAAGAAGGAGAGAGAATCCTGGAGCGGCAAAATATAATACCGATGGGAGCGAAGCTTTCAAAGCCAAAACGTGAGTTCATGAATTTAGGTCGTCCAAGAGTCTCAACAACGTAAGGGGGGAGGCAGGTGGAGCGGCCGGCTTGTGGTCTGAAAATCAGGCTGCAATGACTCCTTCTTAATGTTGCCTTTATTGCACTCCTACTGCGTGGGATCCGAGCAGGATGTGAGCTGCACGCCGAAGTGCGGCTTCGACCGTCCCAAACCCAATCCTCTTTGTTGGTCGAAAGCGTGGTTATTGGTTGTGTGAACCAGGGGGAATCAAAACCACTTTCATCCGAGTTGTCTCCTTCGAATACTCAGCCAGAGGTGTAGGGCAAAATTCTAGACTTGTTAGATTTTGAGCGCAATAAAATCCTTAGCAATCACGCTATGTAAAGGCAACTTCAACTACGATGGGGCGGCCACCTGGTGTGGGTGTAAGATTAACGACAAACAAAACAGATGTGCACGCTATAAAGGGGGTAAAAGCTCCGCTGCAAGGGTATTTAATGTTATTGTAATTCAAAAAGAGCTCTTGGCGGCACGCCCAGCCGCGACGTCGGTCGTGCCAGCCTCCAAATCTCTGTTGTGTTGATGAAAATCCTGGTTATTTGTTGTGTGGACCAGGGGTGTGGTGGAACGCCAAGGTGAGGATCCTTCCGAGCCATCCACCTGCGGCCTCCCTCGTCTCCGGTCTTCTTGACTCTATCTTGACACCGAGTCAAGGCGGGGGAGGAGGACAGAGTGTTTGTAGATGCAGCGCAAGTCTACTGGCACTATAAACCCCTGCGCAAGTCACCGTCCCTGCTCCCACCGCTGCTGCAGCAGCTGTGGGGCACACGGTGGACATCGTCGAAATCAACGGTCGAACTGTCATGTGTGTGTGTGTGTGCGTGTGTGTGTGTGTTTCAGGGGTGTAGGGGTGCTTCAGAGGTGAATCCACGTGATGGTCTTAGTGGTCGCCCACTTGCTTGCAGGGGAGACTACGCCTAGCGTCCATTTGCTGGCACTCAACTGTCACCTGTGGCTCCACGTAGCTGGACTCTGCTCAGCGGCCACACCCCGGGCAACCGTCTCGGCCGGCGGGCTTAACCGGGTGAGGGTATCCGTGCGTGCACCTGCACACGCGGTGCTGTGGTCTCCGCTGGACGGAAGGATCTTCGCGTCGACATCGTCGAGACGAGGCTCTGCCTGGACCATCGCAGGACCCACCAGGTAAGTTATTCTTCAGGTAAGTTAATTTGCTTTGTTTTTTCCTTTTGTCTTTTGAAGTTCCGTGATGTCTGCTGCTCTAGCTGCCTGCCCTCTATATGTTAGTCTGCCTGTTAATAGCTAGATGAAACTCTCGATGCCTGCTGCAACTGTCTGTCTCTTAGTCTATGCCTCTCTCTACTTATAGCTAGGTGTTACGGTTTTTGACTTTGAGTGGCACCCTCACGTTTGTCTCTGACTCATGACTGTGTCCGCTTGTCCACTCTAGCTCTAAGACCCATAGCGTTAGGTTGTGTGTATGCTCTCTCTAACTTTACTCCATCAAATCACCATCACCACCAAGGTCCCAGGCTTATTCGGGTGGTTCTCTCACTAACAAAAACTCGTGGCCCATAGTGGAGTCCGGCAGCCGTCTGGAATAACCGGGCAAACCTACTCAGGGATGCGTTGCCTGCCCTCGCGAGGGGGAGGGGTCTAGAAAAGGTGCCCTAAAAATCGCCGCAGAGAAAAAACACACGGTCGAAACAGCAAAAACCGAAACAACAACAACTACTCTCTTCATCTTCCAGCCTATTCTTCTTCTTCTCCTCCTAATTTTCGCCGCCGCAGTCGCCAGACTGGCAGGGTGAGCCAACTTACTCTGGCAGCCTGGAATGTTCGTTCCCTTTTAGACAATCCGAGGAGCAACCGACCGGAACTGGCGAGCTACAAGGTGGACATGGTCGCACACAGCGGGACTCGATTCTCCAAACAAGGCCAACTGGAGGAGGTGGGTGCCGGTTACACCTTCTGGAGTGGTCGACCCTAGGCAGAGCCATCCGGAACGACATCGTGCGAGGACTGCCCAGCCTGCCGAAGGGAATCAACGATCGCCTGATGAGCCTCCGTCGACCTCTCCGGGGTGGGGGCAAATTCGCCACCATCATCAGCGCCTACTATCATCCGATTGCCAGCCCCGAGGCCGCCGCAATAGACAAATTCTAGGAGGACCTGCACGCCCTCTTGGCGGACAAGGCGGACAAGTTGATTGTCCTCGGTGAATTCAATGCCCGCGTCGGCACAAACCATGCTGCCTGGAGCGAAGTGCTGGGTACTCATGGTCTGCGCGGCTCAAACGACAATGGTCTGCTGCTCCTACGCACCTGCGCAGAACACCGCCTCATCCGGACGAACACGTTCTTCTGTCTGCCGGAGCGAGAGAAGGACACCTAGAGGCATCCTCGGTCGCGTCAGTGGAACCTGCTGGACTATGTCCTCGTCTGGAGGCGAGATCAGCGGGACGTGCTAGTGACAAAGGCGATCGTGGGTGCTGACGGTTGGACCGACCATCGCCTCGTCATCTCGAAGATGCGTATTCGTCTACAGCCTCGCAGGAGACCACAAGGTTATCGACCCCCAGGTGAGCTGAATGTTGCCTTATTGTCTTTGCCCGCTCACCATCTCCATTTCAGCAATGAAATAGCCCAACGACTAGACAATCTTCCAATCGCTGCCGCCGATGACGCCGCCGCTGCCGAGAACGCCTCCATGGAGAACCGCTGGTGTCAACTGCGATACACGGTCCAGTCAACGGCGCTCGCCGTCCTCGGTCGCGCTCCCCGTAAACACCAGGACTGATTCGACGACAACGACGCCGCCATCAGAATTCTGTTTGCTGAGAAGAACCGCCTACACAATGCCTACGTAGATCACCCCACTGAGGACAACAAAGCTGCCTTCTACCGCAGTCACCGCCAACTTCAGCAACGTCTGCGCGAGATGCAGGTCGCCTGGACTGCTCGCAAAGCTGAGGAGATCCAAGGCTACGCGGACCGCAACGAATGGAAGAACTTCTTCTCCGCGATCAAAGCTGTCTACGGTCCGCCGACGAAGGGCACTGCTCCTCTCCGCAGCGCCGAAGGCAGCACTCTCCTGACTGAGAAGACGCAAATCCTACAGCGATGGGCCGAGCATTTCCGAGGCGTCCTCAACCGCCCCTCCGCCATCTCCGACGGCGCCATCGTCCGTCTACCGCAAGTGGAGAGCAACGTTGACCTCGACCTCCCGCCATCTCTCCAGGAAACCATCAGGGCCGTGCAGCAGCTCTCCAGCGGGAAAGCACCCGAATTTAGACGCCATCTCTGCTGAGGTCTACAAGCACGGAGGTCCTCAACTAATGGATCACCTGACTGCGCTCTTCCAGGAGATGTGGCGTCAAGGTGATGTCCCGCAAGATTTCAAGGACGCAACCATCGTGCATCTCTACAAGCGAAAAGGGAACCGCCAAGTCTGCGACAATCACCGCGGCATCTCCCTGCTGAACCTCGGACGGAAGATCTTCGCTCGCATCCTTCTCAACCGCCTCAATAACCATCTGGAACAGGGCCTTCTGCCGGGAAGCCAATGCGGCTTCCGTCGTCATCGTGGGCCCACGGATATGATCTTCGCCGCCCGTCAACTTCAGGAGAAGTGTCAGGAGATGCGGACTCACCTGTACTCTACCTTCGTGGACCTGACGAAAGCCTTCGACACGGTGAATCGTAAAGGACTGTGGAAAATCATGCAGAAATTCGGCTGTCCGGAGCAATTTACTCAGATGATGCGTCAGCTGCACGACGGTATGATGGCGCGAGTCACGGACAACGGAGCTGTCTCAGAGGCATTCGCAGTGACCAACGGAGTGAAGCAGGGATGCGTGCTGGCGCCTGCCCTCTTCAGTTTCATGTTCGCTCTCATGTTGATGGACGCCTACTGCGACGAACGCCCCGGGATCCGCATCGCCTACAGGACCGACCATCGCCTCGTCATCTCGAAGATGCGTATTCGTCTACAGCCCCGCAGGAGACCACAAGGTAACCGACCCCACTGAATGTTGCCTTGTTGTCTTTGCACGCTCACCATCTTCATTTCAACAATGAGCTCGCTCAATGGCTTGGCAACCTTCCAATCTCTGCTGCCGCCGCCCTCCGCGGACAGGTCGCTAGTTCTACCTGAAGAGGTCCTAGGAGGATGATACGAAAATCATTGTGAGAATAATATCTAATTATGTCTAAACATAGATGTATCGTGAGTGCTCTCGCGATCACGGATCTGCTAGCAATTTAATTTTATACTACTGTCCCTTCCTTGAAGTATATACCGAGACCTTGGCTCTAACATCAGACATGACAACTGATGCTGGATTAGATGGACTTCGAATGATAAGGGCCTCGTGCTTTAGTCGTCACTGTCCTCTTAAACCCATCGGATCTGCATACTTTGAATTGACCTTCCTTTTCCTCCGATTCTCCCCTATTCTCTCTAATTGCTAAGCCTCTAACACGGATTCACAAACTGCCGGAAAACCAAATCTCAACCACCTGTGCCCGCATCTGTTAAATAACATACTCGGACTGTCAGTTGATACACAGGATAAGGGGAGTGAGTGATTTTGGCTTTCAGCGCATATTTCCTCTTAACAAATAGTCACACGTACATCAAACTATCACGATGCGCTAGAAACTGTGACTCGAAAGGTTACCAACTAGTGTTTCCCCTTCGACCAAGCAGTCAGCCCAGTTGCGTCTTTGCTTGCTGAAAGTCTAACTGGTGAACTGACAGTCTGACTGCGATGGTACTGCCTCATGCATGTGAGATCACGGGCGCTTCCCCCATGCATTTATAATCCTGGCGAGCACGTTTTGGTGGGGCGTGGGGGTGGATGGGGGCTTCCAGTTAATGCATGCAGTTAACGCAGACGGGATCGCTAACACAGTCAGCCACTGCGCTCACTCCCCGCATCAGACAACTGACCGGCTCAGACAGTGGACTGGTGCCGCAGAGTGGGAGGAGAGATGGCGTCAGCGGTTTCTGACGCATATTCATCACGATGTGCTTGAAGCTCTAATAGTGCGCTGAATGCCATGGCTTGGAAGGTTGCAAACTGACAGCATGTCTCGGAACTCGAAGTCAGTCCAATGATTGTTGTGTGGACTGGCCGACCCTTTGATTGAAAATCGGGCTGTAGTGTTTCGTTCGTAATGTGGCATCCAGGGCGCTCTTACTCAGTCGGATCCCATTCGTTTCTCTTCTTTTTGGTGAAAAATCTGGATAAATGGATCACGAGTATTGTGATACGCACCACACCATCAAACCTCTTCTGGCAAGAAGGCTTTTTTATGCATCACTTTAGGACCACGATTTCACCATCCAGATTTTCCACACTTAGACGATTTAGATTGATTTTCTTTCCTCACTTGCTGAGCATCTTGGTGGATCCCGACGTCTCATTTTGTGATTATAAGCTTGGTCTCTGAATGATACCTCGGTAGTAAAATGAAAAAAAGGTTTTCTATTATTCTAATTTCGCCTTAAAATTTAGGCTCAAATTTGAATAGCAATACAATGTCCAGTGGCATCCTTGGAGTTATCTCATTTCTTCCCAGTTGACTAGCGCCTTCTCACTCCAATTCACCTCATCGTACTTTTCTTTGATCGCCTTCTTTTACCCAGGTCGTACTTGCTAAAGACCCTCCCTCATGGACACACCAGACGGTAATTATGGACTTGGCCTCTGAACGATACCTGCGTCGTTATCGGAGGGGATCTGCTGTTGCCATCCAAAGGACATCTTAGCGTCGTCTTCTCTGGTATTGATTTGACGACATTTAATGTCTTTGTTTGCCACAAGGACTTTGATGACTTCATTACCCAACTGTTCAGGAAAGCGACAAATCAAATACAAGGACTGTGCACTAGTTGAGGGAAGACGAAAGAGTGCGGTAGATGCAGCACAAGACACCTATCACTAAAAAAATAATAAATGTGCACGTCGCCGTCCCTGTGGAACACACGGCGGGCATCGTCGGCCAGGACGATCGAACAACTGCTTATACTTTCAGGCATGATTTACAACTGATGCGCCAGGTAAATTACCCGTGAATGGGTTGGCATTCGTGGCCATGTTGAAACATGACGCACGTAGCTCGCTTATTACTAAGGCTCTAACATGGATTCAAAAACTGCCGGAAAGCCAAGTCTCGACCAGATATGCTGTCTTTCCACAAGCGGAGTCGCGTCAGCCCAGGTGCATCAGTTAAGAGTAATGACAACGGCTTTGGTGTGAAGTGGGGGGGGTGGGTGGGGTGGCGACTGGGTGGGGCTTCGCATGTGCACACTGGAGTCACGCCCGCGTACCGTGAGTAGAGAAGGCATCGACCCTGCGAAAGGAGGATGACGCACCTCAAGGTCGGTCTTCGCTGCGTTTTCGCAGCGAAATGGGCTTCAACGGAGTGAGTGGAGACGAATGGAGCTCTGGATTAAGCCAGCAGTTCGCTTAAGCTGGTTCAACAGCAGGCGATTGAGTAACGCAACAGTTGAGAACTGCAAGTAAGTCCCCAACAGACTGGATGGCAGTCTGATCTTGGGCAGGAATAACGTTAGTGAGGTTAGCGCTCGCTAAAACATAAGTGTAAATTGTGTCAGAGATTACAATTTGTAGTACAGATTAGAGTTCCGTTTTGCAAATCCAAATAACTGGAAGGAAGCTGCCCAAGGCTGTGGTAATCTCGTTGGCTGCCTGTAGGTGAGATTTGATGGAGCCTTAAATAAAACCAAAATGTTCCTGTTGCCTCTTGTAAGCAGGCAGGGTATGCGAGAACCAAACCCGCATGAACATAGAGATAGACGTATGCTAAATGTCCGTATGATTTTAAGGATTAAGCTATCAGCGATTTAGGTTCCCTCAGCAGCCAAATTATTCAAGGTGTGAACGTACATGTCCGAAATAACTACGCAGTGCTAAACAAATTTTACCAGGTCGCCGCTTAACGTGAATCTTTGTTATGTTATGCATAACACAACGAAATAGATTAAGGGTTAATCTTATACACAGAGTTGTTGGAATAGTAATCATCAGTTTCTCCTTTTGATATATTCGGTCAACTTTCTGATTAAGTTGGTTGCAATCAGGTGTTACAGTTCAACACGAATTAAATCACTGTTCGGTTACCCTAGCCCGAAATATTTTGCAAATCTAACTGCTTTTAACTTGTATCAGCGGTACTCAGCGCTTCAACAATCAACAGTGCGCAGGTGCCCAGCCTAAAGGTCATTGATTTCCATATTCGTCCAGGGCAGTCCGCCATCTACCGCCGGTTGGACACACCGTGTCACTAAATTCCAAGGTGAAATTATACCCTCCCCGGCATCCAAAATTTAATCTCAACCGCAATCCTACTCGTGACCCCGCTAAACATCACCTTAACACTAAATGACCCTAACGTAAACCATAACTGCAAACCCAACTCTCAATTGTGATTTGGCTCAGATGAATTGCACACATTCATGGATTTAAAAGTTGATGCTCAAGGCGGTTTTTTAGTTCAATTTCCCCCAGACCTTACCGAAAATGGCAAATGAGAAATATGCAGAGAAAACATGCGAGCAGGCAAAATCTTGTTTTGTATGCGGGAGCACGGGTTACGGTCATAGCATTGATTAAACGGTTTTGCAAACGGAACCAGTTGAAATATTAACCTTCAGTTATTTTCTTTGACGTGGTCGGTTGACTTTCCAATGATTTTGTTCCCCTCCAGACTCGACAGTCTCATGCATGATTGGGAGGAGGAAGATACATTACGTGACCTATCTCATGAAATCTGATAACGGAAACTAATTAGAGAATATTTGGACGCCTTTAACGTGGCCCGTTTTGTTCGCTCACCCACGTCCTTCAATGTAATGTCCTTTTCTTGTTCAAGAAATTGTGTTTACGTAATTATATCAAGAAAAATATCAGTAAATTTTAGCGAAAATGAACTATGGAATGTATTCGTGCATTTTCTTATGCTAATACATGCCCTAGACTCCGGTTACGCAGCTAACAGACTTTTTCATTGAAAGGATAGCAATTTACCCGCGAGAGTTTTAATAAACAGATTAAGCCGGACTGGAAATTTTACTTCATGTCCGATGTTGGCCATGGTTATCAATCTCCTAACGAAAAGGTTATTTTAAGAAAACAAGAAGTTTTATCAATTCCTTAATGTGAAATTAGCAGATCTGTGCGAATTGGTGCCCTAAAGTGCAATAATAACGCAGATAGAGATTCCTTCGTTTAAGTTGGCTGAAATGTTTTTGCCGTTAGGAAAGTTCTACCTGATGTCACATAGATGACCATCACGGAATGTTCAATTCCAGCTTTAAACATATGAAACACTGCTTGTCGTGTTATTTAGCTTCTGTGCATATCTCATTCAGAAATAGAACGAGCAAGACATTAATAGTTTCAGCAAAATATCAGTATTTATATGGCGCTCTGCCGTGCATTCATAATCGAAGATTGGAGTCTAAAAGCGAGCAAAAACAGTGAAAATGCCCTCAATATATAGAGAAAGGCACGTTCTTACGTTCACGGTAGAACAATATTAGTATTTCTTAGGAACATGAAAGAAACCGTCAGAAGTGTCAAATTTTTACTTGGCCTCGCCGTGCAAAAATGTAAAGTTCACAGACATCCGTCGACGGAGTGCAGTAATAAAGCACTTCCTAAAGAGGTAACTTATTTAGGAAAGTTTTCTTATTGATCCAAGGCATATTTGTTGTTGACATTCGTTGTGGACAGTCATTTTTTTCGAAAATGAAGTTTGATGTTTGAATGAGTCTTCAACTTTGACCCAAACGACCATCTTCGTGAAAAGGAGCGCCTGAACGCCAGCTTATTCGATAAATGCCTTCAAGAACAATCTTATTTGAAAGTCCTCAACAAACAGGTTATTCCGAATCTGTCTTTATGGGCGATCGGTTGAAAAAACTGAAAATCATGAAGTATTCAGCAATATTTCGAGGTCGATCTGAAACTCAGTGTAATCCAAAACAAAAGAAAAGTAT